TAATGAACTTTTTTCTAATTCATAGCTTTTTTGTGTGAATTTTTCATCATCAATTTGACTTTATGAAGTTTTTATCATCAATAATGTTAAAGTTTAGTTTTTATATGCATATAGTGTTTATTATTAGTGGATCTTGTGGAAGTTTCACCAAATACCAAAAGAAAGTTCTCTACTAAAGATTGTATAGTTCTTTAGTTTAGATAATGATTTAAAAAATATCATCTTGAAGAAAATTAATCATAAATAATGTGATGGTGTGACATTATTTTAAATTAAAAAATATAATGTTTAAAGTTTAAAAATTTTATTATTAAATTGGCTTTCAAAACTAGATCACATTAGTGAAAATGGCAAATAAATTTTTCATCAAAAAAATCTATCTCTACATTAGGATACCATATTCTAATTTTTGAAGATGATTTGACTCTTTGTATAGAATAAGTTGAAGTTTAATTGTGTGATGAATTTCAAGCTTTCTTCTATAGACGTCAATTATTTGCAGCAATACATGATGAAGTTTTTTCATTGAATTTCACATGTATCTAGCTAATCAAAAGATTTCAATTGTTTATCCATTTTTTAATATTAATTGATATTATGCACACATTTCTTAATGTGTTCACAAGTTCAACTCTTATGAAATTTTTGAATCATAAACTTATCATAAATACTTTTTAAGTCAAGAAAAAAAAGAATTAAATATTTATATTATGCAAAAGAATTTAAACATAAAATTCGCATTCTAAAATATAATAAATAACTAAAACTTGATGTAAAAATTTAATTTTTCTAAAAATGTTATGTTTATGTTCATTTTCAAAAATTTCAATCAAATATTAAAATTACATTTATAAAGTTATTCAGGACTTGCTATAGAATATGCTTCAAACAAGCATACATCATTTATTAAAACATTCATTAGTCACATGAGAAATCTATATTTTTTGTTTTTTTAAATGATTAAATTTTAAATTTTGCTCAATCTTCTTTAATATATTATTTTGAAAATAATAATAACTTTATTGGTGAATTCTAGAGCAAGCTTGTTTCAAAATCTTTGTAAAGTTCAAACTGCGATGTTTTTAGCAACAACAAAAATATATAATTTTTTATATCATTTATCACATAAATATTTCACCTTTTGATCTAACGCAATCACAACTACTAAAATGCACACACACAAGCACAGCCGCCATTGACATAATATTTGATTCATGACTATGAACTAAGTTTACACAAAAAATCTTGATTTGTTTCACTGACAGGTTTCATGAATTCTCATATTCTCATAGTGAAAATTTAACCAGCATCTCTAACAAGGATTTAGCTTACTTGAGTTCATAAAAGATCTTTGCTGACTACAGTACTAACAATTTAGTCATGCTATGAAGATTTTAAAATTCTTAATTTATGTAATTACTTTGCAGCAAGTTTTAAACAATTTAGTTTATATATCATGGTTAAAAAAGAGCAAAATAAAATTAAGACATAATCAATACATAGTAAAATTATAAATATATATACAACATAATCTCTGCTTAAGCTTATTATGCAAAAATTTTTAAAAAACACAATATAATCAAAACTTTATTAGAAATAACTTATACACATGTGTCAATTAGATTTATCTTAAATTCTCTAAAAAAGAAATAAAAATCAATGCCTCAATTCGATGAAATATAACTTTAAATTTGACTAGCTTAATTTATAAAAAAAAAAACTTAAATACAAGTGAATTTTCATCTTGTGTCTAGTATGAGTTTCAACTTCAACTTTCAAATTTTTAAAAGTTATAAAGACCTTAAAACTTGGTGTGAGAAAATAAATAAACACAAATTCTTAAAACTTATCAACAAAAAAACATAGTCTAATTTGTCATAAAATAAAATTTTTGGATAATATCTTCAAATTTCAATATGAATATACTCAAGTTTCTCTTTAGAATAGTGAATTTGAACATAAAAAGTTTTCATATGGTGCTTGCCCATAACACAATATTCACAAAACTTAAAGTCAACGAAATTATGGCAGCTAACAAGAGTCTATCATCAAAGATTATGAAGAATCTTTTTTTTTTTTTGTTTTGGATAATATATATGAGTATTCTTAGATTTAAATTTAGTAAATTTAATTTATGTAGTTCTCTAATATGTGTGAATAGTTATAACTATGTTCTTTTAATAAAATCTTGTCAATAAATCTCACTTCAAACACTTTTTAAAAAATATATATATAATTCAAGGCTTTTTGAATCTAATATACTTGAAATTCAACTCAATCTTGAATCAAGTATATATTTAATATCCAACACAAACTCAAGTATGTCTAAGTTCATTAAATTTTTAATTTTTAACATATTTAATAATTTTAACAAATATAAAATTGCTCAATTTTTTAAATATTCAAATGAATTTTAATATTGAAAAATAATACCATATTGAAACGAATATGATAAAACAAACAGAATCTAAATTTTATATGTAAAAAATATTCATTTATGAGATGGATAGAATATATCTCTTGCATCATATTCCATTGTTGAGCGAATAAACTTCTTGCGATCAAAACGTAGACATATTGGCTATAGAAATATCATTTGTTTTGATCTTTGCTCATCAATCCTTATTATATTGGCCACTTTTGCCAAACTTCCAACAAACTTGTGTAAGATTTTCTAAAAATTTAATTCAAGACCTTTAAATCTGAAAAAAATGTCATACTTGTTGTTCAGTAAATATTACTTGTGATATCTGATTCTTCTTTAGGTTAAACTCACATTCCAAAAAGTCTAAGATGTGTTTTTAAGATGTCTTTTTGTTAGTTCATAAGGGTGCTAAAACATTGACTTTTATGTACATAACATTGTGACAACAAACTCTTATACAATCTTTTCACTCATCATTAAACACAAAGTCTCATTCATATTTTATTTTAATTTAAGTTTTTTCATATTTTTATACTCTGCAATTATAAACTCTCCATTCATTAATCAAATTTTTGCACAAAGATTGTTTAATAATGTTTGAGACTAATAACCACTAGGAGGAACATCATAATAATTCATGGGAAATATTATCTTATTTTGATTTTTATTAATTAATTAGTATTCTCTATTAATTTACTTTGAAGTAGCTCCAATTTTTTCAAAAAAAATTTGCATTCCACCTTGTTTCAACTTTAAAATCTTAAAACTTTGACAAAAAAATTTGTAAGCATTGACCTTATATTTACCATGGTAAATTTTTCTCATCTTTATAATTCCTTAGCATCTAGTGAAATTTTGGTTTCAACTTTTTTGTGCTTTCAACAAAATACTTCATGTTTTCATCATTCTTTTATTTCAAAAGTTGATTTCACGCATTAATTTCTCATAATTTTTATGAAAAGGTTATGAAGAGTAGTCCAATATATACATTATTTGAAGATATGCTCTCGTGTTCTGACTAGTTAAAATAACATATTTTCAATAAAACTTTTCATCAATGTCTTTCACTTATCTTATTTCATGCAATTCTTTTGTTATTTTGTAGAACCAAATACTTCAAAAAATCTGATGATAGATCTTATTTTAATAATTATTTCCTATGCAAGCTTTCTTGAAATTTCTTACAACTGCTTATCATTTTTGATTCATTCATGTCATAAACCATTTAAATTTTCCTTATGTCCAATATCAAAATTATCAATATAATATAAAAACATAAAATTCATTCTGAAATATCTTCAATTACAACATCAAAGTAATTTATTGATCCAATCACTATGGTTTTGAACATGATATTATCCAAAACCTTAAGCACTTCATCGAAAGTTAATTTTCTTGATGCAAATGGATTATTCTTTGGCAATTTTTTAACTAGCTATTCGACAAATGAAAGATAAGATCAATCTTTGTCAACCTCAAAAGAAAGATCAGTTCAAGTAGCAATAAATGCTTTAAAGACATTGATGTGAAGATAAACAGCTTCAACATGTAAGATAATTCATTCTCATCTTGCCAAGTCACATCGCCTCTCTATTTGATAGGAGATTTATCACCTATTGACATCCAAAAAATTGACGTCAATAACTTGTGATATAAAAAATTGGATCTCTAAACATCCAAAATATCAAACTTTGCCATCACGTCTTAGTTATTTATCTTGAAAAGTTTCATCTTGGTTATGACCAAATCTATATTCCCAACATCTATTGTCAAGAAAATTCATAAATCTTAACTAGCAAGTTGTTTATATGTTTAAACAAGATTCACTTTGTCTGAACACTTCATCTATAAATCAATCCTTAGAATTAAAAAACAATCATTCAATGATAAACTAGTTGTTTTTTATGATCATTAATTTAATTCATTTTTACAACAATCTCAATCAAAAACTGCCTTTATCAAAAGATTTTTACACATAGACAGATTTTAGATGCATCAATGTTTGATCATACCATACAAAACCAAGAAGAAAATAATCATTTTATAAATGATGCGTGAATTCAAGCTCTCTTGTAATGATGAATACTCTATCATATCTCATTTATGTTTAAATGGTCAATGACACTCCATCTTTGTTTTTATTCCATTGTAATTATCGAATTAAGTATGTTATTCAAGACCAAAATTTTATTTACACATGCGTGAATTTCTTTTATATTGCTTAAATATAGACTTCAATTGCATAGTTTCAATTTTATCAGGCAAAAAAATGAAGAGTTGTTACCTAAGCAGCCACATGCCTTTCTTCCTTTCCCAGTCTCGGGTGTGAGAGTATCCACAGGCGACGTGTTTTCCTAAGTGTTTCACCAGCCCAGACCGTTTATACCTGCTCTGATTGTTACACACTCCTGACGTGTTTCTCTAACCTTTCCGCAAGTGCTGCCACCATGGAACTTGATACTGCCCGCACTTTTGCCTCCCGTGAGGCCTTGATAACCTACGTTGGGGAAGTTGGTTAGGCGGCGGGCTATGCTGTCGTTATTAAACGTTCGGACACTGCTCGTAACCGGCTTGAGCTTGGCTGCGATCGTGGTGGTAGATACCAAAAACGCACCGGCGTTGACGATGACCAGCATCAACGCAACACAGCAACACGGCTTATTTCTTGCCCCTGGGCTGTGGCAGCACGTCAGGGATTTGACAGCCAGTGGGGATTTACCGTGAAGGAAGACCATCACAACCATGAGCCTTCGATAGAGATATGAGGGCATCCAACGAGCCGTCGCTTGTCTGAGGCAACAGCGCAGAGGATCAAACAGCTTGCATCTGCTGGGGTTGCTCCCCGCCAAATTCCATCAACTCTGCGAGCGGAAGACCCATCGTTGTTTGCTATCTCAAAGACGGTGTACAATGCAAAAGCGAAACAGCGGCTTGAAGTTCTAGATGGTCGTTACCCCATCCAGGCATTGCTTGATGAGTTGCAAGGGAGCAACTACAGGTTCAATGTTGAATGCAACTCATGTGGGAATGTGCAGCGACTGTTTTTTGCCCATCCTGACTCAATCGCTATGACCATTAGATATTCAAACGTGCTACTGATGGATTGCACATACAAGATCAACCGTTTCCGCATGCCCTTGCTGGTTGTAATTGGGCGCACATGGCACAATATGTCCTTCTTTGTCGCATTTGCTTTCCTCGAAGGGGAGAACTCCGCCGAATATATCTGGGCCCTAACCCAATTAAAGAACCTTTTTGATGGCGGCCATATCCCTGCTGTTCTAGTGACAGACGCGGACTTGGCACTTGAAAATGCCATATCCGCTTTCCTTCCTAAGTGCCCTCACCTTTTCTTTATTTGGCACATTAACAAAAACGTACTTGCAAAAAGAAAAAAATTCATACCTGATGGAAGAAAATGGGGAACGTTTCATGAATGCATGGACGGCCATTTGCCGTGCATCAACACCTACATAATTCGACACGCTGTGGGAAAAAATGCGTGCGGATTTCAAAGACGTTCCTGCAATGCTGGATTACGTGAATAAGACTTGGATTCCGCACAAGACCAAATTTGTCAGCGCGTGGACATACGATTGCCTCCATTTGCGAAATACGACAACGTCATGCGTGGAAGGCGCTCATGCGATGCTGAAACGATTTTTGCAGGTTTTGACAGGCGACCTGCACGCTGTTCGGGAAGAGATTGGCCGCGTACTTGCACATCAAGTTGGCGAATTGAAGGCAGCTGAAGCGAAGGAGCATATCCGTGTCCCACATAGGTTGCGCATCACGCTGTTTGCAAATCTTGTTGGACGTATCAGGCATTTCGCTCTAAACCTTTTTTATGGAAGGAGGCAGCAACTAAATGGGAATGCAAAACTTCCAGAGTGCACTGGTGTATTTCAAAAAACGTTGGGCCTACCATGTGCCCAGGATCTTGCAAAGATCCCGGCTGGCGCAGGCGATTTGCTAACAGACGTGCATCTACATTGGCATCTTGGTAATACAGTTGTGTCAGAACTTGCAACCATGCCCAATATTACCCACACCAATATATTATTTTGCCACCTCCGCACGATCGAGGCTGAATAACTCAAGTGGCCTCCCGCAAAACAGGCAGTTGCACGTGCACGGATCGCGGAGCTAGCAATCGGCCAGATGCCTTTGCCGACAAACCCGCTGCCTGTGCAGCCAAAAGGAAGGCCGGTTGGGGCAAAGAACAAAACAAAGTCATCCACCATTGTCGGCCTTCGAACATGTAACAAAGAGGGCGCAATTGTGTGGTGAGTGCGGGGCACCTACCCATGACAAGCGGACCTGTCCTCAGCATATGGCCAAGCAACGTACGTGGAATACCACAACATACAAGAGAATTCTCGACACCACCTCTACCGCCAAAGGATGGACCACCAAGTCATTCAAGGATGACGCGAAGACGGTCAACGTCAACGCTAATCTGGCCACATCGATATTTGTTCTGCAACCTCCGGGCTGACTCTCACTCAGGTTTACCTCAGATGGCTTTTTGGTAGCTCATCATGATTCTAGAAGACTAGGATTCCACATCATACTCATAACCTAAACACCCTCTCACACAATCTCTTAAGGTATCACTCCAACTCATACACTCATCGACACTCCAAGGTACTGAAAATTCGTCACTCTTTCATATATGAAACAAGTCTCTACATATGAACTCTCCAAACTTGCTTGAGAGGCTCTTCCCTACCTCTCTATATATACTACTTGAGAATTTACCATAGTAAGAAATGGTAATTTCTATCTAACTTACTTTTACGAAAATAAACCATAGTAAGGTTGACTAGTTATCAATATGTGGCAACATGCCATTGGCCTCCAAAACTTTCTAGATGTTTACTAATCGATAGATTGAGGTGGCGACATGCCATTTGTGCCTTTCCCACTTCTAGAACTTCCACTTTCCACTAAGTCAACATTAGACTTAGTCTCACCAATGGAATACTCCTGACTTTAGTCAAACCAATCAAAATTAAACATGAAGTTCAAAAGTATTTTCTCTTGGAATCTAGACTTTTGTACAAGACAAAATAGAAGTGCTCACTCAAATCTTCTAGAACTTCTCTAGTTATTCTGCCAAGTATAGAAATTATAGCTAAACTAGCTAGACTTAGTCATAACTAGCTAGATTTAGTCATAACTATCCTAACCATGATTAACTCCTTGGCTAATTCTAGTTTTATTTCACACATGCAATATCAGGTCTTACAGTTCCGTTGTCCCTCGTTGATGTGATTGCAGACATCAAGGATATCGCAATGGATGGAAATTGCGGTTTTCATGCAGTCGCGGCCGCATTGAACGACATGCACCCTGAACGTAATATGGATTGGCGCCAAGTACGCCGTGACCTGCTTGGCTAGTATAAGCAAGACCACCAGTTTTGGGACGGATTGTTTGGCAAGACGGAGAACATTCAAAAGCGTCTGGATTGGTTCCAAAGTGGAACAGCACCAGTCGAACACTGGTTTGATGCACCTCCTACGGCAATTTTGGCTGCAGATGTGTACACACGCCCTGTGGTTGTTCTGGATGAAGACCCTAAGATAGGCAACTGCACATATGTGCCATTTCATACCAGTAGTGGCAGCACGATCCCCATCTGCCTTGTTTTCGTTCAGAAGAACCATTGGCAGCATGCAACGTTGAAGACACCGCTCGCATTACCTCCTATCTGTCCTCTGTGGCGTACACTGAGTGACAAGAAAACACGTGAATCCTGGATGGCAAAACTCAGTTGTGACCTTCTAGCGTCGCTTGGCTTCAAAGGAGAGAAAGACATGGAAACTATAGATCTCACAAAGTAGCGGAAAAAGCGTCGACATAATAGAGGCATTGACCGGCGTTTGAAGTGTGGCGGCACAAGTGCCTTGGTGATAGTGGTGGTGTCAAGGTTAGCTGTCATATCTCATGTACTCTTTGGCTGGTTTTAAGCAATGTGAAGAGATGGCAGTAAGCTGTGCTCCTGTTTGGAGTGGCAGTAAGTAGCGCTTGGCTTGATACAATACGGTACCTAGAGTGGCAGTTAAAGCCCTAATTAGCAGCAGTAAGCAGTACTTTGCATGATGCAATTGTACTAACAGTATGCAGTATAGCATTTGGGGTGGCAGACCTCGGGTGTGGGGTGGCAGTTAGGGGTGACGGGGGGTGTGGGGTGGCGGTTGGAAGTTGGGGTGGCAATAGCAATCCCCTAGATTTATACTCCATGTCATCAATCTTGTAGTATTGGATTAGATGATGAGTAGAGTTCATCTTTGTGTATTTGTTTAAAGGGTACGACTATGGCCACACCCGTTTTTGCTACGGCCACATTCGCTTTTGCTACGGCCACACCCGCTCGTGTAAGTTGACTCGATCAAAGCCTCTGAAGGGGGTTGAAGCGGCATGACAGTCGAAATAGATCAATAGAACGACAGCACCGGCGGCAACGGTACAAGCGGCAGCAACGCGGGAGACAGCGACGGCCGCAGCGGCCCCGCGCCCCTCAAAGCCTCTCGACTAAGCTCTCCTCTACCTTGCGGACGAGCTCGGCTTAGCAGCTAGGTTTGAGGGGAGGCGTGCTTTGACGCGCAATCAGTTGTTTGTATGTAGCGGGTGTGGCCGTAGCAAAAACGGGTGTGGCCCTAGTCGTTCCCTTGTTTAAAAAATCCATATATAAAAAAAAGTGGAATCATTCCATGTATATCTTATTTTCAAATTATTCAAGTTATAATCAAGTAAGTTATTTTTTAAATCCTTAATATTACAATAATATCAAAGCTAATTTTCTCTCTTTTTTAATGTGGATTATCAATCATGCAATAACAAAAATATGATGATAGCATTATATAGTGGCAAGCTTAGGTCACTAATCTGCATGCAGAGAGTGTTAAAAGATGAACTTGTGGTTTGCAAATATGGATGGACTTGAAACAATCCAATATCGCAACGATCTCCAAAATTTTTATATTCATCTTTGTTTTATGAAAATGCATCAATTTTGGATGTACATTGTGGCATATTGTGATGTAGATTCTATGACTATATAGATGCAATCGAGAGTGCCGTTGATAATATTGATTGTTAATTACAAATAGATTTAAGATTGTATCATCTACATTTTATACTAAATATTCAATGATTTGAATCGTGAAAAATCCGTCTTCATTTGATTCAATACATATATAGATATTACAAGAATATATCAATGAAAAATATATTTTATTCAGATTTTCTTGCAGAAAATCATGGTGGGGAATATTATAGAGTTGTTGTAAAAGTACTTACAACTTTTATGATTTTTTTGATAAAACATTGGATAATTATCAAACTTACTTTGTATTAGAGTAAGCGAGAGGAAGCATATAAACATCATTGAACATGAATGAGGTACTAAATGCTATCATGGTTGAGATGAAGAAGTTGAAAAAACAATATCAGATGTACACACAAAGCAACAAGCTGTAGAAGATAAGAGTTTTGCATAAAAAATATTAAATAAAGAGAGATAAAGCTAGAGAAATGAAAATTGAACCTCAAGTTCACACTATTTAAGTTCACCCAAAACCAGCTGCAATCGATGAAGCTAAGTCAAATAGTATACGTCTTCAAGAAAATGAAAATCAAGACAAATTTTTTGCTGTGATTGGAAAAGTCATGTAATATGGAAGTATACAAAGGAAGTAGAAAAATAAAAATTCAGTGGGTTGAATCATGCAGATGATTAATTATTCATACCAATTTATATTTTTGGTTTTATTGCACAAATATTCATCAAATCTTATTTTATAGATAAAGCTCTTACATTATACACATAACCATATCACATAACAAGGAGAAAAGTAGCCAGCTCTTGATTTCAAATCTCTCTATATTTTGACACATTTACTACGCATAATGTTTTCTCATCTAGTTTATTTAGTCTTCTCTTCACTTATGATTGTCATTCAGCTTCTCGAATGATCTAATGTGATCGGCTAATCCGGCTTTATAAGATTGTTTATCTTCTATTATAATCATTTTTGGATCTAAAATTTCTTCATTGTACTCTTCTTTCCAAGCCTTCTCGAATACTTTTCATGTGGATTCTTGGAAGTAATACAATCTGTCAATCATGAACTTTCTATGTTCATGATTGGCACTCTGTGAACAAAATATGAATCACGCAAGCAAAAATACCTAGTGTCCATAGTACTGTGATCTATCTCTTTCACTTTCACACTTTCAATAGTTAAAATCCTCAATAACTTTGTCGTAAATACCTTTAAATCGAGATACATTTTGACCCTTGAGGTTCACGGGTGACAATTTGTTACATTGAAACAATCTCAAGAAAACTTTGTGCGTTTACGGTTCCGACATTCTCAAGCATGGACTTTTTCTCAAATTAATCCAGAGGATCCACCATTCAGTCACTTTGTACATGTCACTTGTTCCATGAGTAAATGTCATACCTGACATCTCCAGGTTAAAAACGTTCACAATTGTACCTGGCGTGTCCATGCGTCTTGTCTTTTGTTCAACTTTCAACCCACTTATATGTGTGATGTTTTACTGGAAGAATACACTCTGATGAAAAAGTTCATAACCCGTTTTTCTTTACATGAAGATTGGGGTTTAGTACCTCTCAGGACCCATTCTGAAGAGTCTTGGAGACGTATTTGAAGAAACAAGTAGAATGCAAATCCAATTGCTCGTTTCCAGTTTTAGCCATAGGGTTCTATGGCATTAAATTCACATGATGGCGAAGTATTTATTTGATGGATCCTATCGTAACCTAAATTATTTGATGGTAACCATCAAATTTCGATGATACTCACCCACAACACATTGTCGCAAAGTTCTAAAACGTGTTACTGTGCACAAATAATGCAAATTTTAGTGTACCGCTGTAATCGCAAATCGCTACTAGAACTGCAAAGTCCAATGAAGTTCACCGATCTTGGGTCATGACTCCAGACACGACGATGTCAACACCCCTGCGGTACTTGTACAATAGGATCGATATTAGCAGAGAGGGTGTAAATGATGACATTGACAGTCATCCAGCGCTAGAGTTCTGGTGCACCTTGGCACTCCAGAAATATAGTATCACTAGGTTCATACCAATTCCACCCGACTCAAAACCTCACCAAACTTCTGTCGTTGCGAGATAAGTTGTTCACATGATTCTTTCATGAGAAAGGAAGATGTCCTTGTATACCCCAAACAAACCAGGATCAAATTCTCTCTAAATTTAGGACCTTGAGTGATGAGAGTCTGATGGAGCTTTCTAAAGACTAGAGGCAGTATCTCTGGGAACAGATTGAAGCTTCAAACTCCATGTAAAAACCTCAAAATCAAATGTTCACCTGCAGTGAGTGAGGAGCATTAAAACCAAACTAAAACATCGTCGAATGTGAAGGGTCGCTACTATGCGATTAATTCTAATGTGCATCTAGGTTACATCTTACTCCAGCTCCTCAGCTCCTCAGCTCCTAAATTTCAATCCCCACACACTTCAAATACGACTTCATTTCCTCGTTCCAGTTTGTGTCAATTCAAAAGTGTAAGTAGATCGGGACCTCGACGGGAGCATTGGCGAACCATTTATTAGTTATATAGATGTTTAGCAGCGTCTGATGGATGCTTAAATGTTCAAGGGCAGGGCAAGGCAGTGGTTACACGATCTGAGAAACTCAGGAGCTCCTGAAACCAGAACATCTAAATCTCCAGAGCTCAAGCATGCAATTTTGATACCGAAGTCCACAGTCATTCGTTGTATTTTCCACATGGATGTAGAGGACCTTCGAGGACCTCGAAGACAGCAGCTACGGTGGAGCTGCTATCGTATATTGAACCTGACCGAAAGACAACAAGGTCCAGCATGGTTTATATTATAAATAATATACATTCAATCGCCTGTACGTGAGACTCACAGTATCATCCGGACTTATTGTTCAAGTAGACTTCTGGAGTGCCATATCGACACTGTGCTGAACGAACTGCCTCATAGAAAAGGGTTTCATGCTCATCGGATAGATTACTATCCGAGGAAAGAGTTCGACGAGCACAGAAAACTTAAATAGTCATGTCGTTTTGGCCATGCCTCCATCGCCAGTTGACCATGCGTGTGAATCGAATGTGCAGTTGGTTATTCGGTCAATGTTTTCTCTTGTTGCCATGCCATTTGAAATCTGTCGATGTATGGAAGGAAAGAAGGTCAGGTCAATCCGAGCGCATCGCTGATTGCTCGAGTGCCTACCATCCGCAAATATGCATTGCATCTTCATTCTGCATTACTTTTATGATAGATTATGGTGCATGTTAGAAAGTCTTATAGACAGGTGGACGTAGCTGGTTAGTGTAGTTGCAGGGTGCAAATCGATCGATCGGGCAGTTGCGTTCAGCGTCGGGGCACGACCATCTCTGACCTATATTCACACACCTGCTGAATTCAGGCAGGCAGGGACATTCACGGCGTTTTAGTCTGGCCTCTTGCTAGCTAGACCTGGGATATGCTGCGAAGTGCAAGTTTGCTGACAGCTCCGTTCTTGTGCACTTCGAGAAGCATGTAGGAGATATAGCAAATGTCAGTGCCGACTGATTGCGGGATTCCGACTATTTGATGGCCCAGTGAACTGCCTTGAATTGCTCTTCTACATGCCTTATTCGTTCACTCCAACTTCCTTGTGGTGCCATTCATCCTCCTCACGTGAATGTGACCTTGTCAGCTCTAGATTCTCCGGGGAAGCTACGCGTTTTTTAGGAAATCTGTCTTCATCTAGTCATTTATTCTTAGTCTTCTTGTGCTCTTGTACTCTTCTTCTTGTCCTTCCCCAGGCTTGGACTCGACGTTCCAAACTTTTAGCATGTGTCATATAACTACTAATGTGGGCCTTTGAAGGTGGTTTTCTGAGCTACAAGATCTGGAGTTGCTTTCCGTTCTCCGGCAGAATTCCTAAGAAATATAGTCTTCTGAAGAATCTCATGGTGCTGGAGATCAGCTACTATCACCTGGAGCGAGCAATTTCAATCTAGTTGTACAAGTGGCGTACAATGAATACGTGGAAAATCTCAGAAAATGCACTGGGTGGACCTCCTCCTGCAACTCAGGGCAACCTGTCCACTTTCTCAACAATGGACTTAGCTAGTAACCTCATTTTCAGTCAGATCCTGCTCAACGACCAGCGGTGACCTCATATATCTCGTCCAGATGATTTATCTGGACGATGAATAGATGAGTGTATGAGACATATGGAAGGGGCGGATCCATGGACTTAGTCGAACCGAGCGCTTGGTACTCAAAAAAACCTTTTATACATATCAAATGATCCTGAACTGGTACTATGGTTACGAGACAGGAGCTTATGTGTCTATGGGCACAACTTTCTCACGTGACCATTCGTTTGGCGTGAACTGAATAATTTGACACTGAGGTTTTTCTTGCAGCTTGCAACCGACCAAACGCGGACCTGGACCATGTTAAGCTTATCATTGTGACACATCTTCGCATGCTGCGCTCAAGAACCTAGTAGCCTGCGGCAGCTGTGGATGAAGAGGTCGGATGATTGTGACCAATCATCAGGTAAGCACCTGATTACATCCTTCCAAACGATCGCTACCTCTGACTAGAATCTTGAAGAAACGATGGAACAAGCAAAAACGAGAATAGATGAGAAAAGTCTCTCAGCTGTAGAAGGTTTACATTCGAGATACTCATCAAAGAAAAACTCCCGTCCTATCTATAGCCATGTTCGGCTCACTCCTGGTGCTCCTCGGTGACAGGTTTCAAGGTACGTGCGTCAAGATACACGATAGTAGAAAATTCTCGAACATGTGCCATGAAGATAAAGATCAATGTTACACTACACTTAACGTCGAGTCGCTCTATGTCCAAAGTCGAGACGCAAGATCGCTGCTACATAGCTCCACTAGGCAGTTGCTGCTACAGAGCTCCACTAGACGTCACACGTCGAGAGCCGCGTTCCATGCCTGATGATTCTGTTGATACTGGAACATGTTTAACGCGTACCGTCGGTAGGGGTACCATCGGGTAAGACGAAACTTTAGGGTCCCAGTAAGTAATTTAGGTTCCGATAGAGTCCCATGAAGTAAATTTCTCCATTACGGCAGACACGTCGGTTCTAGTGCAAGGCGATGAGTACTTCACATTACACTCATAATCCTCACGTCAAACATCCTCTCGTCGACATATTCACATCCTTCCCGAAAGTCTACAGAAATTTGCACCCGTTCATGCAGAAAGGATTGGGGAACCTTCATCGAAATTTTAATCATTTCACATGGATACTCTGGCAACTCAAATCACTTTCGCACAGAAGGGCATAACACAAGAGGCAGTGACACTGATATTTGACGATCAGTGGAAGACTCGTGGAAAACTCAACCGTAAAAGGCAGTAAGAATCTGCAGTTTTAGGCATATGCACTTCGAATCGGTATTGTACTTCGTTCGACGAGTTCCTCATAAGGAGGCCCGTGGATTTAGGAATGAAGATGGAATAACCACCGGTCAGCCTCGGGGGCATATGTCCCCCAGGTCTTCAAGAGACATGCATACAATTGACATCATCACACGTTGTCTTGGGAAAATCCGTTTCAATATTTGGTGAACGATCAGTCGAACGCATAGTCGTGCACAAATCACCTACTCTTTATACAGTTTTGAGCATGGATAAATGCTTCAAACTAAAACAGCAGCACATCTGTGCGAAACGACAGACGGCATACAGACTACACTTTTCTTCTTGGTTGTGTACAAGTAATCAACACTGCAAAATTGGAGAGGGTGCTGCCGGCGAGATATTGCAGCTCACTGAGACTTGGGGTCAGTTACCTCTCAAGGACCATGGAGCTGGACAACTGGCGATGTCATAACAATCGACATGTCCTAATCTTTTTCGCCTACGAAATCCCTCTAGAATTGGGTGTATTCAGTAAACGAAAGTAAAACGGTACAAAGTTAGGGAGCACTCCCCTCCTGCGCATCCACATAACTATGCAGGTCCCTCGCACTTGCAACTGGTGCATTGAGTTCCACAAGAAGGGCGATGCTTCAAACGTATGTTCCAATCGGGCCGACTCCTCCGAACGAGGAGGCCTATAACTCCTCGTCTTTCTTCTTCTTCTTCTTCTTCTCGCTCTTCGGCGCCTCGGCCTCAGCAGCCGTCTCCTCCGCACCCGCGGATTTATCTTTCTTCTTCTTCTTCTCACTCTTCGGTGTCTCCGTCAATTCCTCCGTCAAATCGGCGGATTTATCCTTCTTCTTCTTCTTCTTCTCGGACTTGGGCTCGTCCGCACCATTCTCCTCCTCCTCTTCCTCCTTGTGCTGCTCCTTGTCCTTCTTCTTTTTCTTCTTCTCGCTCTTCGGGGTCGTCGTCTCCATCACCGCCTCCGTGACCTCTTCGGCGTCTTCCGTCTTTTGCTTCTTCTTCTTCGCGGCGGGCTCTGGGGTCGCGACGTCGGCCGACACTTTCCTCTTCTCTCCGGCTCGCGCTTCTTCAGGCTCTTCTTTCACCTTCACCTCTTTCTTCGGCTTCGCCGTCGAAGGCTCTTCCACGGCTGCCGCCCTCGCGATCGCTGTGTCCTCGCCCGCCGCGACGGTGATGGTTTCGAGCTCAGGGATGTTCCTCAGCCACTCTGCGGGGGTTTTCTCGTTGGGTCTGCCATTCTTGTCCAGCAACCCATCGGCGATCAATTTCTTCTTCGTGGATGCGCGAGGTCCCAAACCCCATTTCCTGGGATATGTGTCCCTCTCCATGACGACTCTCTTGACCTTGGCAACGACTCCGTGGTCGCAGGTGGCCATTACGGCGGTGGTCATCTGAGCGACACCCAATGCGATTGCCTCGCCCTTGGTCGTCATGAGCACAACCTCCTCGCCGTTTTCAATTCCGTTCTCAAATCGTAAGAGACCTGGAATCATCAGCTTGGCTCCGTAGCAGATGGCATTGACAGCACTGTCCTTCACGACCAGCCTTTTGTAGCTTGTCAGCAGAACCTCCAGGGGCATAATAACTCGTCTGAGATAAGCTTCGTCCTGGTTGTGATCGAATTGCCATTGAGCATCCAAAACGTCATGCATCGTTACCAGATTATCCTTCTCTCCCAGAATACCTGACCTCACACGCCTCAGCTCCTGCATATGGCCCCCGACTCCTAGAAGCAATCCCAAGTGAACACACAAAGTTCTAATGTAAGTTCCCGCCTCGCAGGAAACCCAAAACACCACCAAGTGGCGCTCGGCGTCATATTCCAGCAACTTACTTTGGTAGATTGTCCTAATCCTGAGCTGCCTCTTCACGGCAGAAATCAGAGGAGGTCTTTGGAACAAAGCACCGGTCAGGGTTTCGATAGCTCGAGCGACCTTGGCAACATTGTCGACTGCGGAGTGAAGGCGAGCTACACAAACGTACTCCTTCCCAGCTCCTTGTTGAGCTTTCACGAGCCGAGTTGCCCTGTCTACACAAACGATTAGACTACCTGTGACCTTCGGATCCAAAGTACCACTGTGTCCGGTCTTGTCGACCCTCAATATTCTCCTAATCCACGCGACGACCTCGTGGGAAGAAGGGTTGGCGGGCTTATCCAGATTGATCACACCGTACCGTACGTAATCGAACAGAGGCCGTTTCAACGGAGAATGCCCGGTGGGAATGGGGGTATAGTGTCCAGTTCGAATGTTGAGCTTGTCGTAATTCTTGAGCAAAATCGGCCATTGCGAGGTGTCCAATGCAGGGGTCGAACTCTGGGGCTTGATCAAGAAATCGATACTCGCTTGATCAAGACCAGCTGCACCTGCAGTCACGATGGCCCCATCCTCCTCCACCCCGTTTTTCTCTCCCTTGTCTCTCTTCTTCTTCTTCTTTTCCGCGCTCGCCATTATATCTATTTTGCCTACTTTGCGCGAGCAATTCTCGATGAGAACCCCGTCCTCGTCGTTCGGATTCTCTCTCACTTCCTCCTTCTCCCCAGTTCCTCTCGAGGTCCACCCACGAACGAGTCGCTGCTGGACTCACGTCTCCATCAAAACCCTCCTGCCTCTTCCTCGTTGGCACGAAATGTCCAACCTCGCCAGAGGCCAGTAAGTCTCAGAAGGAAAAGATGTCCGAGGCTCTTTAGGGTTCTAACTTCTAAACCCTAAACCCTTGCTTCAATTCCTTCCTCGGGTACGGGAGAAGGAAGGCGAGCCATCGACGGACGGACAAATTTCCATGCCTGCGGGGTCCAGGGGGTTTAGGGTTCATTGGGCACCGAAAATGCCTTAGGGTTTCACTGCTTCCAGCCGACAAAATGCACCCAGTCACCGGTTGCTATTTTATCCTTTTCTGCGGACAGGATATGGTTATCCGTCTTTTCCAGTCCAGAACTGCGGATTTCCTAATGGTGACGGTTTGCGAATTACTTAACAAGAGTAATTATTTTAAACATCCATTTGGATTGCTGCTGGGACGGTAATCAGTTGATCCGCTAGGTTAGACAATTTCGCTTGTTAAATGATTGCTTCAATATTTAAGCTTCTTAAACAATACTTGGAGGTTAGTATTACACCAAACCTCATGGCTTTAAGACTTCGATCGGGGCTTATCATTTTTTTTGCCATGTAACTCAGTGGTGCACTCCGAATTAATATTGTTGCAGATAGTGTTATTCAAAATTTTCAAAAGTTGTGTGTATAATTTTAAATATTCCAAACTTTTCTCACTCCAAACCCTTACAACCTTCATCTTTTAAAATATTACATAAACCAATTTAAAACTTCAATTTTTTTGAAGATTTAAGTTCAATAGTAAATTTAAATCTATCAAATAATTCAGATTATAAGATTACATTTTAGATGATGTATAGAATTCAATTCATACAATTCATTTATAACACCTCACATAAGCTACATAATGTCTTGATTAAAAACCTACTCCACTCAAACGTGAGTGTGTTGGTTGATGTTGACAAATTATACTACATTTTGTTAGCACAGCAAAAATATATAGTGTTGACAAAAAGTCAATTTAGATGGGTTTTGACAAAAATTCAAAATAAACAGTTTTGACAAAAAAAAGTTTTACTATTTTTATTAGTTAGGTAATTTTCAATCATCAATTTGAATTTCTGAAACTTAGCAAATGCTTTAGATACACATGTGTATAGCTTGAAAGATCATTGATAAGTGTTATAAAGTAGTTACAACGAGAGAATGTTCAAGTTTTCAAAGGGCCACAGATATCTATGTGCACTAGAACAAGAAGATTTGTAGCACGTGTGGCACCTTTGCTTGGGAATTTGGGTCTCGTGGACTTTCCTTGAGCACATGAAGTGCAGAAAGAAGAGTTTGTAAGTGTAACTATAACATGTGTCTAGAGCACATGAAGTTTGAAAGTAACATTTATCCAACCCTTATACCATATGATGCTGCTTCATTTGTTGAATTCGCGGGAGATTCATATGGCCAAGCTTGAGGTGTCATTAGTAAGTATTCAACCCGTAAATGTTGGAAGCTGAAAAACTAGCATTGGCGGAGACTACGCGGGTATTGGCAGAAGTTGTTACCAACCTGAAGAGTTTGTTAACACTAATGCTCTGAGCAATGGTGTTACTCATCTTATGCTTCAAGATGCATTGATCACGTTCGATCAGTAGACTCCCTCCTTCGAAAGCAAGCTGATTCATTGAAAATAGTTTCTTGCATAGAGCAGATACATGGAGCACGTTAGGTATTATCATGTGCTGTCCATCATTCAAGGAAATGAAAACATTGCCTCTTCCTTGAATGGGTTGGCAACTGTTGTCTCCAAGATATACAAACTCCCTCCAATGGGAGTTTCGTTTATGTCACAAAGGCATTTCGATTAAATGACATGTGTTGGATGGCATCTGAATCTACATACCATGATGGATTTGTCCCGGTTGAGGAGAGTGCGATGATATACAACCGCTTCTTGACGTTTGCATTAGAATATGTCAAAGAGTTGTCTTGCTTCTTCTTTCGACACTCGTTTTTTAGATGACTTTGCTTTTTGCAATAGAAGCACTTCATTTTTTGTCGGGAAAAAGATGATTTTGATATATGCTCTTATCGTGATGGAGATGAAGAGCATGTTTCATTGAATCTTCTTAGTTGCAGCTTTTGCTTGGAGAGAGTTCATCCTCTTCTCTTTGTGATGTAGAACGCTGCCATTCCGTCCGTCATTTCTTTTTTTTTTAGGTGTGATTCTTCAAGAAGGAGATTGGCTATGACAGATTGTGCGGACAACGTCTCGTTTGTTTGCATTGAGCGCATAGAGATTCAGTATTCGATAGAAAGACTTCAAAGGAGATAGGCATAAGCTTCTACATCTATAATTTTTAACCTACACCAGCTAATTGGTCAAAAAGGAGACCAAATTTTGTGATGTGTTTTGCCTCAAACTCTCATATCTTCAATTTTAGAGAATGCAATGATACTTTTAGATGTAGTTGCATAAGTACGTGACTTGATTCAAATACCTTTGTCAGCTTGATCAGAGCCTCTGCTACTATCTTATAGCGAGCGATAAGGAGCTGTTGATGAGGCTCATGCTCATTATTCAACATTGTCAAGGACATGAGGTTTTTATCATCCCATCATTTCTTACTCCTTCCGCCGGACGTAGGTATCAGTACCAGGTACAGCGATCGACTAAAGCTCGATACTATTGATAACTTTCATCAATACTTCAACTCAAACGATCCAACTTATCTGATCTTGCCATAAATGAAAATGCTTCCCATTAAATTTGGTAAGATCATTTCATGCCACTCTGATGAAAGCTCATAAAGAATTTATCTTCCTCCTTCACGTCCCGCTTTGATTCACGTTCTTCACGGTGTGGTGCACAACATTCATCACAATTTTTGAAATTTTTGAAAAACTTCACAAATTCATAAAAATTTTGCTTGAATATTATCTTTAACTATTTGAGAACAAATTTAAAAATTTCTTCAATTCAGGCTCCACCAGCGCTATAATCAGCATTAACAGTTCTTTGGCAATTTTGGCTTGCCTAGCGCCAAACAAGAAATCTTGAAGAGGAGCTCGAGTTTTGTACTTCGGACGATCTTGGTCTTTGATTGCCAAAATTCGAAGATTAACATGGTTTTGAGATCTCATGAGATTGCTCTGACAGATAGCACAGAGGTGATTCAAAACAAGAAGTGTACTTTGTGCTTGTCTTGATTCAAGCGTTCTTTAATAAGAGTAGATTCAGTTCTGATATCATATTTAAAAAAAATGCAATGTAATGATGGGAGTCAACACATACAATGAGGAAGTATTCGATAGATAGAATTTTTTATTAACACGAGTCCTGAGATCGAGTTTAAATACTCGATTCGATAGAGGTCGAGGGATGCGTTTGACACAAAAACACACTTCCATAGTGGAACACACCCCTATAGTGGATCGCATCCCCTAAACATAAGAGTCTTTACTTTAGAAGACTAACAGCATTAGAACTCAGTTCTAAGTAAAAGTACTCTGATTGCACTAGTCTGCACATACAGAAGTAATATGAAGTATGACTGTATTTTAACATAATCTATTACATAAAATTTTCTTTCAAACTTTCTATGGTATAATTAGAATTTCAATTAAGCAAATATGTATTTTCATGAAATTAACATTTATTTTAAAATTTTCATATATCTACTCAGTAGTGAAGTAGAATATATTGTTGCTTATTGTAATATAAACCAATAGATACAATTCATGTATTTTCTTTCTCAACAAGTTCTAGATTACTACATAATCTTGTAACTTTATAACATTGTCAATTTTTGATTCTCTTCAATCCAAACATTATAGATCATAATAAAATAGCTTGTGTGTGAAGATGATCAATGTATATAAATTAAATTATCATGATTCATGATAATTGTGATAATTTTGCTAAATGCAATAAAGTCAAAATTAATCTTGCCAACATCTTCAATGTTTGAAAAAAATGATTGATATATCTACACAAATTGCATATATTGATTTTCAAAGTTTACTAGCAACAATCTAAGCAATAAGTATGGAAAAAAATAACATATTGTTTTGTTGGAGTACTTCATAACGAGTTTAGAGGTCAAGCTATTTGCAAAAAAAATTATATTATTTTTATTATATCCTCACTCATTTTACATCTACACCTTTAACTAGTAACTCAGGTTATTTAAATTAACTTCAAAATACCAAACAAAACGGATCACATTCATGAATACACAATTGAAAATATCAAACAATCAAATTTTATAATAATAGCATTAATTTAATTCTGATCAAGAGAAATTTTATTTGTAATTCATAAGTCATATTTGTGCTCTCTGCACAAATATGTACATCCGCATGGGGTTGACAAAGTGATCAAATTGAGTTTTCTATGAAGTTGAAAGCCCTTCTTCACGTAAAATGAGGTAATAGCTTATCCACACGCTTTTGGTGTGGCATCAAAGGTCTACCTCCTTTACTGCATTCTTTTACGTCTCCATTAGGATGATCAACTAGTTTCATAGCAACACCTCGAACAATGTTGTGTCTATCTAACCACCGGCTTTGTACTACTTTGTTAAGCTTATGTTTAGCATGATTAAGATTAGAAACTATACCAATAGTAGCTCGGCATCGGGAAACTATTAGTTTGTCAACACCCGAAGCTAACCGCACAATACATTGTGGGGTATTCTCAACTTTTTGAATTATTTGAACAAAGATTCATGAAGCTCGAGTCAACTTTGCACTTTGATCTGGAATCCTTTCAAATAGTAAGTGGTAAATGATGAATAGATCAAGCCCGTGGGACCCAAAGGTCAAAAGGCTAAAAGATAAAATACAAACAATCAAACTCCAAACCAGGAGAGAACCAAAAGAACCCCCTAGCTAGTGCCAAGAGCAGTAGAACAAAAACTAATAACATCCTTCATAAAACAACCAAAATCATAAAGCTCAAGCTGCATTAAAGAATAAAAATTCTCAACAACAACCATATTAGCCACTCTAATCTCAAAATATTAGTATAAGAAAAAAATACATGCTCTTCATCCTCAGCTTTTCTCCCATCACATAGCCTACAAACATGTTCACTACTATCAATGTTC